AGTTTCCGAGATAATCGCGAACAACGAAATGGCCGAAAAAAAGTAATTTAATTTATCTTGTATAGCGTGTAGGACATGGAAAAAGGCAATTCTGACCCGTTCATCTGCCTATAGGGAATCCAAATTTCCTCAGGAATCGAATGGAGTAGCTGTTAAGGCTCTATCTCTCATAGTTTCCGAGATAATCGCGAACAACGAAATGGCCGAAAAAAATTAATTTAATTTATCTTGTATAGGGTGTAGGACGTGGAAAAAGGCAATTCTGAGATGTTCATCTGCCTATAGGGAACCCAAATTTCCTCAGGAATCGAATGGAGTAGCTTTTAAGGCTCTATCTCTCATAGTTTCCGAGATAATCGCGAAAAACGAAATGGCCGAAAAAAATTAATTTAATTTATCTTGTACAGGGTGTAGGAAGTGGAAACACGCAATTCTGAACCGTCCATCTTCTATAGGGAACCCAAATTTTCTCAGGAATCGAATGGAACTGGTTTTAAGGCTACATGTGCGAAGGTCGATTTTCGCACTAGAGACCTTTACTCACATGTGAATATTTTTCGTCGACGGGTCTCGTCTCCCAGAAGTGAAGATGTATACCTTACCCGCAATAAAAAGTAGTGTAGCAGAAAAACTATAAATAATCAATATATTACGGATATTATTCCTCTATGCGGTTATCCAGCGCAATCCAACATGCAAAAACAACCGATATTCGTTTAGATACTTTGATCCGCGCCCATACTGACCAGTCTTCCGCGCAGTCTGTAAACCCGCGCTCATTCTGCACCTCATATCTTGTGAAGTATTGGGCCGATTTTGATGAATCAAAATTCATTTTATTCGTAAGAAGAAGAGGAATAACTTTCATTGGAAGCATTTTTCTGTGTCTCTCCCGGTTATTGCGGAATATCATTTGTTCACTGAAAATGGGGACTAATTTAATTATAACAAATTATTGCGCGACTGGAGGAAAAAAAATTCGGAGTCCGCACCGCCAAAACATGAAATCCAATAATAAAATTTCATCGACCTCTTAGTGACCACGGGAGTAACTCTTGCGTATGAGCTAACATGTGTGGAAATCCTCAAACGCGTGTGGATAAACATATTTGTTTTTCGTCAATTCGTTTAACAAAAATTGCGGCTATTATTATGGTTTGCAAAAATGAATAATTTACGGAGATATCTACTATTCGATGTGTTCCAAAGGCACGGGACCAAACGGTGTGTGAATGACGATCGACGAAATCAGTAGCGAAGCGGTAAACCGGGTTAAGTCGATTTTGACTATTGACCAGTTTTTGACGAATATCTCGGAATCTAAAAGAGATAGAGAAATTTTTGTTACAACCTTTTTTGTAGAGTCAATTGAGGGTTATAAAAAATGTTATGAGAAAAATTTTGCTATCTCTCTTAGATTCCGAGATATTAATCAAAAACTGGCCAAAAGTCAAAATCGACTTAACCCGGTTTATCGCTTTGCTACTGAAATGGTGTGTGAATATTGACATTTATCGACGAAAGATATTCACACACGTGAAACAGCGGCCTCTAGTGCGGAAATCAACGTTCGTACATGAGATCCGTGAAACCTCATCTCTTGCATGTGAAAATATCTTCACAAAACTCGAGAATAGGCCCCCTGAAAAGATGGCGCCACCCATATACATCTATACCCATTTCTCACACTCATTCCTAACATGTTATCAGTTGCCTAGTGTGCACGGAATCACACTCGTATACCCACACTCATAGAGCCCCGTCAAGAGACGAGAAGGAGAGAGAAAGAGAGAGAGAGAGAGAGAGAGAGCGAGAGAACCTGGAATGCACCGGGAACAGGTCGCAAGGATTCCGGCATTCCGAAATTCGCAGCGGGCGCGTCAGATAAATTCATTGTCTACGTGTAAGATTTTCTAGACTTGAGTATGATTTCAAGAGAAACTGGTTTTCAAATTGGATAATGCATGAATACATACACATATATATGGGCTGCCCCACCGAATCCACACGAATCCGGCATCTAAATTTTCCATAATTTCTTTTTTTATTCTTTATGGAACTTTTAGATGAAAAAGTCACGCCCACTGGGAGAGATACCTCGATTTAATTAATGAAACTCGGGTTAATTGTGCGATTTCACCTGAGAACTTTTTAAATGAATTGAATGGAGAAAAAATGGGAACATTGGTTCGGTCGGAATTTTTTTCAGTTTTTAGGAGATAATTGTCGTTCTTTTTCCATGTGACATTACCATTGGGGAGATTAATTTGGGGACATTGTGTGACGAGTGGGAAAATTTTCAGTTTTTGGGCACATGTGTGGCATGCCATTACAGGTTTTTTACACTTGAAAATGTTCAGCTAAAATTTTTTATACAGATCTCTACTAAAAATTTTTATGTGACAATTCCACAAATTTCCGGAATTTTCGTCTGTAAAAATCAAGATGTGATAAAAAAATCCATGGGAATTGTAAAAGACTTATAAGAATCGGGGAAATCACGTGAATATATTCTTAAATTTTCAATTGATTGCAAATTCATGTGAGTTGTTAAATTTTCTCCTCATTTCTACTTGAAATTATTTAAGACGAAGGCAATTTTAGCTGAGAATTATAAGACTGAATTCGAAGCGATGGTTTATTTGAATTAAACAAGGTTTATTCGAATCAAATAATTGAATTAAAAAAATGAAAGGAAGAAAATGAATGAAAGACTAATTAAATAAGGAAAAATGGGAACATTGGTACGGTCGGAATTTTTCAGTTTTCAAGAGATAACTATCATTCTTTTCCCACGTGACATTCCCATTGGGGAAAGTAATTTGAATACATTGTGTGAGGAGGAAGAAATTTTTACGTTTTGGGCACATACACGGCATGCCACTCAGCTTTTTTACGCTTGAAGGTGTTCGGCTAACATTTTTTATACAGATCTCCAAAATTTTTTATGCCACTTCCACAAATTTCCAGTAATTTCGTGATAAGAAAATCAAAATTTGACCAATTAAATCAAGTTCATTCGAATCAAATAATTGTGTTTAAAATATCGTAATCAAACTTCCATTCAAGCTCAATCTTCACTTTTATTTACGTTTTTTATAACACCAAATGAATGATTTTTTTAATATAACCAAATAATTCCTTAATTCAAATGAAGACATGATTAATTAGAATTAAAGTAATTGTTGAGACATCTCAGAGAACGAATTCATTAATCAAAGTGTATAATGAACTCTAATAACGGATCCAATTATAAATGAACTATTTATTTCCTACAATCAAACCATTTCCGTTTAAATAAATATAAGAGTTTAACAACTACCACAAAAATATTGTTCGAATGAATGGAAAAATATAATTCAAAGAGCTTTATTTGAATCAAATGTAATCTCCCCTTGTAGCAAACATACAAATTTTTACTGCAGGGGGAGATAATCTTTCGGGAGATAGTGTCTTTTATTTCGCCGAGAGCACGTGCAAAACTACTCGCGCGTCAATTCTACACACGACCTTGAACTTTGCGCATTCCACAAAATAAGTACTTTAAAGCCACGCAGTGATGTTAAAAATTCACTTTCTTCTAAAAACGTCAATTTGCCCCTGTTTGCAATTTTCTCATGTCAGTTTTCCCCTGCAAATTTACAATACTCCCGATGAGAATTTAGTTACATCCATTCCATAAATAAAAAAACACGGAAGATTCAACGAGTTTGAAATTCGTGATAGGTCACACGTGTAAAGTGTTACCGATGTATTTACATTTTGTTCGTTTGTTTGTTTTTTTTTCATGATCACGTTTTATCCTGCTCTCGATGGTCTCAGGATGTGTCGATTTTCCCATGATAAATGTAAAAAAATCAATACTATTTTTTTAATTTGTGATGATAGGTCACATTTGTCAAGTGTTACCAGTGTGTTTATATTTTTTCGGCTGTTTGATCTACAGAGATAGTGTTAATCGAACCGGTTAACTCATTCGGGATTATTTCAATGATTCCAAAAACTATTAATATTACTAAAAACTATTAATCGAATCGAATAAACTATTAATCGAAGGGGGAAATCCGGGATGATGCACTGAGAGTAAAATCTGAAGTTCGATTTACAATAAGAAAATAGTTGAGGCAGTTTTGGTGAACGATACGATTTTTTTGTATGCGGCACATAACATTATAGTAACTTCAGAAGCGTAATTTTTGCAAATCGAAATGCAGTTAAACTAACCAAAGTTCAAAAGTAACCACGACAAATCTATCGTGAGTAGAACTATAAAATAGTTGCAATGACTACATTCCATTGTAGTAATTACTTCACCGGCCAGTTACCGTCACCCATGAAAAATTGTCGAGAACTTTTTGACTATAATTCGATGGTGATGGAATATACTCAGAAGAATCATATTTTTCCCTCAGTGTGATGAAGCTGGCGACAACCGCGAGACCCATGAACCAAAACCACATTAAAACAGTCGTCATGACAAAATATAATGTTGTCACATGACGGAAAAAACTGAGTGAGTAATTAAACAAAAGTCTAACGTGTCCATTTTACCCCACTCTCCCCTAAGTTAGGGGAGGTTGGGGTAAAATGGACACTTTTGACTTTTTTTCAAATGTTAATAACAGCTTGAAATGTTGATGAAATTCAATAGTTTTTTTTTTCAATGCAAAGAACATTTCTTTCCCTTTGTAATGAGCCTAAACTGAGCTCAATTGATGAATTTGTTTCTGAGTTATGAGTAATTTAAAAAAAGTCCAGTGTCCATTTTACCCCATCCTCCCCTACATAAATAGGATATTTATTGGTATAACTTATCGAAATATTTAAATGAAGCAATACTTTCGGCCACGGCTGTTCCGTCAAATTTTGTATATTAATACTTTCATTCAAAAACTTTGTCTGTTTTGATTTGATCCTGTAATTGGCCTTGTGCCGTTGGGTCTTTACGAAATAAAATGAAAATGTTAACAATTATATATATAATAATAAAAATAACTCACCCGATTAGATTCCAATGCCTCAGCGCTGTGTTCCTCCTTCTGTTTGAAGCAACTGCTGCACTTGCTTTTGTTGAATATATTAGGAACAAATTTCCTGCACTCAGCACCGGCGCCACGGGGTGACGACACGACGTTTCCCCCCGACATCGCGTCACGTACAACACGATTGACGGAGTATACGTTTAATCATACACGTTGAACAAACATGCGAGTAATAACAGCCCAAGTGCAACATGTCAAAAATTCACGAGATGAACAGCGGATCAAAATACTTCCACCGCGAAAAAAGCCTCGCATTCGCTCACGCACAGTTCGCGAAAATGAACTGGGGGGGGGGGGGGAATTAAAAATAGTGCTGATAAAAAGGTGTAGTAACGGGAGATGTACGTGCTGAGGCACGCGATTTACATTCAGACGACATATTTTGATGTCTCCGTTCGCTTGTGTAAGCCATACGCAACGTATGGTACGCCCTTAGCGTTACAAATATTTTCATTTCACCGATTAAATTGGAAAACTTCCGAGAAATTTGGAATTTCGTAATGTACACAGTTACTTGGTGTTTTCATTTCGTTATTTCAGGAAAAATAAATCACAAACCACCAACGGGTCACAGTTTCTCGGAATTGCTCAATTCCTCTCATGCCTGGATGAATTTTTCCTCCAGATCGCGATCTACTTTGGTCCAAATTCATCACAACAGGCCGATTGTATAACAGTCCATTCATCACTCCTCATTCTCTCAATCCTTTATTTACATTTTCCTTTTACTCGATTTTTTTGCACTATTCACTGCTCGTTATCCACTGGAGCTGGAACTCCGCGGCCTTGATGACGTCCACTTGGCGGTTTTATTTCTATTTTTTCCACCTCTGTCGGGATTTTTTTCAAATTTGAAAAACATTGATCCCGTTGTTCGTCAAAATGACCGAAATTCCGTGTGTTGATTTTTTCAAGTGAAAAAATAAATCATTTCTCCGTATCGGATGCGCTAATCGAACGGAGTGATCGTATTTGTAAAAAAAATTAACCATCACCGTTCCCTGTATCGTAAACCGGCACCACCGCGTAATTCATCGTGCACATATTCTCGGTGTTATGATCCATGACACAGACAGGCGGGACCGTAAAAGTGAGGTCATGTTTGTGTTGATGTTACGGGCCTATTGGGGGATTTGTTTTTCTAACACTCGACCTTTTACTGTTGATACACTTCACCATATTACGAGGAACTACACGAAATTCTTGGACGTTGAGCGCAGAGCCACTGACAACACGACACTCTACAGAGGATACTCTGCACCTTGCGCTGCACGACTCCGCGCTCAGCGCGGAGGTGTGACTTCTCTCGTATTACAGTTTCCGAGGGAAAATTGTACGGGAGTACGAGCCACAGGCCACAGTCGTAGATACAGGTCTGAAAAGTCAACCCGATTTTTGGTGGTGGGGGTGGATGCCTTAACGACGGCAGATTTCGTAGTACCGGCAGTGACCGCTTGAGACGCTACGTGACGAGCGGATTTTTTTCTAATGATAATGAGTTCAATGGGGAAGTAATTGATTGATTAATTGTAACACAAACATGGCTCGTCTCGGACTCTCAATTTTTGCAGTTGGAAGGATTTCTGTTATAATCGTCAGTCAAACATGTTCGGTTAGTGGACTGTATACATTAGATTGCGCTTGGCGCGTTGCGCCCCTAGCGGTCGTCGACTGAACTTCAACATCTGTCATCATGTTGCGGTTAGAGATGCAAATGCGTCACATGACCCGTCATATGACGGTCATGTGACGCATTTGATACAATGTGACCGAATGTGATCTAATACAATTGTAATCTTCTTAATTCGTGGATTAGGAATAATAAAAGTATATATATCTTCCTCATGTTACATTTTTTCTTATAATTTTTTAAAATAGATTTTTTTGTTCGATTAGAGGAGGCAAAAATAAACTTCGAGTGAATTCATCAATTTTATTTATTTCTGTACAAAATTGTGAACAAATTCTGTACAAATTCTGTACAAAATTCTGTACAAAATGTGACCGTCTAATACAATTGTAATCTTTTTAACTCGTGGATTAGGAATAATAAAAGTATACATATCTTCATGTTACATTTTTTCTTCTAATTTTTTAAAATAGATTTTTTTGTTCGATTAGAGGAGGCAAAAATAAACTTCGAGTGAATTCATCAATTTTATTTATTTCTGTACAAAATGTGACCGTCTAATACAATTGTCATCTTTTTAACTCGTGGATTAGGAATAATAAAAATATATATATCTTCCTCATGTTACATTTTTTCTTATAATTTTTTAAAATAGATTTTTTTGTTCGATTAGAGGAGGCAAAAATAAACTTCGAGTGAATTCATCAATTTTATTTATTTCTGTAAAAAATTACAGTGCGCAGCAATTGAGCGAAAATTTCTCGGTGGAAACCAGGAAATTTACAGTATTAAAGTTCTTTTTTACACATTACATTGCAGTAAAAAATAAAAATTTGAGTTAGTCATTACAATTCAATATATTATTAAAGCGTACGTGAATGCTTTCCTTAAAAATATTTTAAATTCTTTTTACGGAAAGAATATGATACAACCTATATTACAAAATCTCTTTTTTTATATTCTTTTTGTCATTCCGGCCGTAAAGCTGCCTAGGGCCGTTACGACAAAAAATAGTATTCGACACGGCTTAGAAAAACTTTTCTAGTCCATATGATTACAACCCTCACCTTTGGCTCTGGCTGCAACCTCGTATTCACCAGAACAGTTTCTTTTAGGTCTTATGTCGAAATGCACTATTATTGCGTGAAGGGTGAGCGGGCGCAAGCTTCCCACATTGTAATCCTCAGATAAGAGGAAGGGCCTTACAATATTCTCCTTGGGCGCAAGATCCCTCTGTCTAACGAGACAATCGACAATTGTAAGCAGCAAGTGTCAAGCACAGCTATAATTCAGTATTGAAGCGGTAAACCGAGTTAAGTCGATTTTGACTATTAGCCAGTTTTTGCTGAATATCTCGGAATCTAAGAGAGATAGCAAAATTTTTCTCATGACTTTTTTTATAGCGCTCTATTGGCTCTACAAAAAAGGTCTTGACAAAAATCTTTCTATCTCTTTTAGATTCCGAGATATTCGTCAAAAACTAGCCAATAGTAAAAATCGACTTAACCCGGTTTACCGCTTCTCTACTGAATTATTAACAGCCACAGTAGCGAAGATGTAAAATGGCTCAAGGCGATTTCAGCTCACATTCAGTTCTTTGTTTGCGATGCATGAGGTTGCAATAAGTTATAAACCTGATAAGTTTTACAAAGTCACAACTGCTTGACACAATTATGCAATTCGTTCCCAAATAGAAACGAACGAGTAAGAAATGAACCCCCCTTTACCCCTCTCCGCTACCGAATCAATAATACAATCATTCACCATTCCCTCAAATAATTCTTCCTTCAACAATTCTTTCCAACCCTGGTAAAACAGTCCGATTATTTCCGACTGCGTGATAAAAAATGAATCGGAGTTAATGATGTTTCTGTCTTTGCCCATTAAACTCCGATTGGCTGGTGGGTAGAGTTTGGAGTTTGAGAAAATTATGAGAATTAATGGGAACAAGGGTATGTGGCCGTTATCGTCGGTTACAGTCCTTTTTATCGCGGACAAAAATATCATGACAAAAAAATCACGTCAAAAATATCACAAACAAAAATATCACAAGCAAAAATATCACCGATAAGAATATCACAGCTGAAACATCACAAACAACAATATCACAAACGAATGGAACTCAGAAGAAGGTCAGAAAGGAAGAAAGGCAGCCAAGATTAAACAATAACAACCCAACAATCAATATCTCGCTCACCAACTTGAATTTTCATGGAAATAATAGATATTTCCTAAGTTATCTGATTGATACGTGAGGAGAAAGACCCGTTGGAATTAGAATTCAATTTTTATACTACGAGGAGGCTTAAAGGATTATTTATGATCATTTGGACTGTGATATTTTTGTTCGTGATATTTTTGATTGTGATATTTTTGATTCATGATATTTTGGTTTGTGATATTTTTGCCGTGATTATTTTAATTGTGATAAAAAGGCCGTGATCGATTGGCCGATCACCGTTATCGTCCGATTACTTTCCAAAAGAGTGGTTGACAGATCTCATATTACGCATATAAACATTCAAATAAGCAATATATATTAAATATTTATATGAGCAATATGAGATCGATCAACCACTTTTTTGGAAAGTAGTCGGACGATAACGGCCACATCCCCTCGATCCTATTAATTCTCATAATTTTCTCAAACTCCAAACTCTACCCACCAGCCAATCGGAATATAACGCGCAAAGACAGAAACATCATTAACGCCGATTCATTTTTTATCACCCAGTCGGAAATAATCGGACTGTTTCACCAGGGAACCCTCCACTCCAACTCCCACTCTTCACTGAATGCTCATGAGTTGTATGCCACAAGACGCCTTACACGTAAGGAAAAACGGTCCCTCCTGAAACGGCATGAAGGTCGCCGGCACAATATGATAAGTCCCCGCGACCACCTCCGAAAGTTCCAAATAAACAAATCCCGACCTAAAAGGCCCAGACGTTTTATTCTGAAAGGCAGTTGGTGCCTCAGGATCGCCCAACGTAACAGCCGTGATTTCAAACCCAATCTGATACTGTTTCGGTCCCTTCAAAATAACCAAAAGATAGTTATTATTATTCGAGCTCTCCAGCACCAGTTGATATCTCGGATTCTTCCCATAAGTAGCCGGATGATTAGCACATCCCCCTGCAGTCTCCCCCTTCCACTGCCCATCAGTAACAGTCTTCTCGAACTTGTAAGGCTCAGCAATCTTCTTGAGCGTGAACTGACAAGTGCCATATGCTCTCAGAGTGTAATAAATCGTATTCATCTTCTCGTACTGAGAGATGACGAGAGTGTACTTCGACTCACTACTCGGATCCAGCTTGATCTTCGAAAGATAATGAGGACTGTTGATCCTCACCCCATCGATGTACGGCGGTGGATCGTGAGGGTAATACACCCTCTTCCCGCTATTCTTGTACACCAGAACTGTGATGTACTCCTGGTTCTGCCTGAAGTCCGCGATATCAGTGATGTGTCGCGTCAGGAGGATCCAAATGGCCCCGGAGACCCCGGACTGCACCTCCAACGAGAACTGGGGATTGTCTCCAATATTATAAGCATCCTTGATCGGCCCCGTTCCAGCATTCCACATCTGATGTATGCAGTAAGTGTAATTGAACAGCCCCGGATTCCAATTCAAATAGAAGACGTCGAAAAAATGACAAATACTCTCGTAATCAATCCAGAAGATGCCGTTGTCATACTGCGACGCAGACTCAGGATCGTAGTTAAGGAGTCTCTTGAGCTCAGGCGTCCAGTGCTGGACGTCATGTTCAGAGTAGTTCCCACGCCATCTTAGATGGGACCAAGGGTTCTTCAGCAGCAACAGCTTGTTTCCGTTAATGAGCCTTACATCGAGGACTGCATAGGCATGCGTGGGGACCAGTCCCGTCTGGTCGGCCACGGGGTCCGAGAGCTCCCCAGTGGCGACTGTCACCAGGACGTCTCCCTTGTGGATCCTCTCCAAAAGAGTCTTGAAGAGGCCGTTCTTGTTAAAGTCTGGGTCATTCGGCCTGATCGCCCATCGCTCTGGGATCCATCCAGTTAAGGCGTGGAGGTCAATGTTGCTGTTGGAGCCGGGGAAGTCGTAGCCCCCCATGACCTTCATGTAAGCTTTCTCCAGTAAAGAGATCCAGAGCTCCCCCCGGTTGCTGGAGTACGAGCATAACAGCTGGTTCTCCCTTCCCACTGGGAGGTGATCGTCTATAATGACCTTTCGGGGAATCCCATTTATGTGGAGCTTCACCATGTACTTCCCCGAGGGATTGTGAACCGGTTCCCTTGAGGTTCGGTTTTGCGGGAAGAGGATCGAAGTTATCAGACGCTGACCGAAACGCTTTTCGTACTGCGCGCTCACCGCTAGGGACGCCACGAAGGAGCAGTCAGAGACGACTGTTTGTTTTATGCTGTAGTAGTCCACGTGCGTTCCTAAAACCAGTTTTGGACTCTCGAAGAGCTGACTAGGACGCGCCCAACGGGCGAAGTCTCTCTTTTGCTTTGGGGCTAACTCGAGGAGACCGTCTTTGTCGGAGAAGAGGGTGGGCGAGGTGAACCTTTCGGCCAGGTCGACTGTCATGAAGGGGACGAACTCGTTGTCGTTTATGTGGGAGGTCGTTAGGAGGGTCTTTTTCTCCTCCTCGGTGTAGCTGTCGCTGCCACCGGTCACCTGGAGGTGCGCGCTGCTGCCGCGGTGGAGACCTCGACGCGGGGGGAGGGCGCGGTTTTGCGGGGGCTTTGGGGGGGTGGGGATGGAGGTCGGGGTGGAGGTTAAGGGGGAGGAACCTTCCTGGTGGTGGCTCTCCTCGGGGGAGTCAGTGGGGGACTCGAGAATTGTGTCGGGGACTGGGGGGAGGGTCGAGAGGAGCGCTAGTTGGGACGGGGTGGTTATGCCCTCGAGGGCTTCGGCTCGGGTAATTGCGCGGGCGCTCAGGTTGGTCAGCTGCTGCTGCTTGTCGGGGGACGTTGTCGTTTTTTTCTGGAAGAAGAGAGTCGCGAGGTAGGGTAAACAGGCCAATAACTGGACGGTTAAGGAAATGATCAATTTCATTGAAGGATTTAAAATCGATGAAGTAGCTGAATGAATAAAAAATGAGTTCTAGATCGGAAAGAATATATGAATTAGGAAAAAAACATAATTGAAAGTGACACAAATGAGAGGAAAATAATTCTGTAGCGAAGCGGTAAATCGGGTCAAGTCGATGTTGACTTTTGGCGAGTTTTTGATGAATATCTCGGAATCTAAGAGAGATAGAAAATTTTTTCTCATGACCTTATTTATAACCCGCAAGTGGCTCTACAAAAAAGGTAATGACAAAAATTTTCTTATCTCTTTTAGATTCTGAGATATTCGTCAAGAACTGACCAGTAGTCAAAATCGACTTAACCCGGTTTACCGCTTCGCTACTGAATTAAATGAGGGATAAGTAGAGTATCGTCCAAATTCCGAATAACTGGACGCTAGGGCCAATAGTTGGACGGTGAATGGCCAATACATAGACGGTCTGGAGGAATATAGAATTTTCATCCAGTTTATACAAACACGTGAATTTTTTTTATTGAAATGTTAAGGAATACAAGGCCAAATAAATTCTTAATCTTGGGGGTGTGATTCTCCTCCTGAAAATATTGTACTATTTCCCACTTTTTAATCAGTGATAATTTTTTCATACGAATTTCAATTGAGAAAATTAAATGAGAAAAAATCATTCTTTGGAGGGCGGTTTTGGGTTAAAATAGAGGTTTGAAATTATTAGGAGATTTTTATTTATTTATTTGGAAATGATCTACGAGGCGCAACAGTGAAAAATTGGACAAGAGTTGTTTCAGAACCACCCTCATGCTGATGAATCTACTGTTTCAGTTTTAATGTAAAAAAATAAGGAAAAAATTTGTTTCGATTTTTTTATTCATCAGGAAGAGGCTTTAGAGGAGAGGCATTCCACACTATTTCAATAGGCTAACATTTGGCTTTGCTCGATTTTTGAATATGTTGTAGAAGAGGTCCAGAAATGTCTGCAAGCTCGAAGAAACACATTTTTTTCCAAAGGTTATACAAAATACAAAATTGGAGGTGTCTCTGGGTACGTAAGTGTTTATAACATCATAACTCGATAAATATTGGTTTTATCAGAAAAATGATGAGGTACTTTTTTATTGCCAAAGGGTGATAGATTCGAACAACTATTTTATTTTTGCGAGAAAGTCCAATTTACAATACGTTTGTTAATAAACAAATTAGAAAGTTGATAAAGAAACATGTTTGCAGGTCTCACAAATTACCAAAAAAATATTTTATCGAGTGCATACCAGAGAATTCACTGTTAAATTTTTATAGTGTTTCAATATAGAGTCTAAGGTATCACGTACAACGCAGTTAACCGACTGCGTTGAGTAGGGCGACAAGAGAGCTCTCATTGAATCATACTCAGTGGTTTCTCAGCGTATTATTCTTCTTAATTTTATGAATTGCAGTGATGTAAGAGCTTATCAATTAATTCCGAGTTAACTATCAATTATTTTGAGTCAGTTATCAAGTTTAATATCAAGAGATTATCAAGTGCAGTGTAAAGACTATTATCTAATTTGACATTGAGACATTCACCAATTCGTGTATCCCTAAAATCTAGACGCGTGGCTTGTGCCACAAATAAAGTATGGGATTACATCACCAGTATTTTTGTAATCCGCGTGTCTTTAATTTCACCCTTTCCATATCACGTGCACCCAATCCGCCGTAATATTAGCCTCAATCTCTAACACATCTTATTTGTAGCCCTTGATTCGCTCTACCAAAAACATTATTACGAAAATTTCATTATCTCCCTTGGATTCGGAGATATTCCTCGAAAACTAAAGGCGAAGTCGACTTGAACGACTTACCGCTTCGCTACTGAATTTAATTATTTCTTATTTTTTTAAACATTAAAACTGAAGTAGTAACCTCATCAGCAGGATAAATAAAGGCCTCCCTTTAACCCACACTGTTGGGTTAAAACTGGAAATTGAAATACCTCGAACTTCGAGGATGAAATATGATAATTGAGACATGAAATATTTCAGTCAGGAATTTATCAAAGGGATCTCATGGTTATCTACCGTATCCAATGCAAGCTGTGCTGCATCAGCATATAAAAGGACAGCAACATCCTTCCAGCCTTCGTCATCAGCATCGAGAGCCTCATTGATGAGAAATTTCACTCTTTGTAAATTCGTGTCGACAGTTGGACTCTTGCTCCCTTCATCTTCTTTAACTAGTTAATGGCAAACATCAATCAATGAGTAAATCGATCGATTCGAACCCACGACACATGAATTTGATTAAATAATAATCAGGAAATTTTTATAAAAAAATATTTTCCGATGATAACGTTGCAAAAATATTGGATTATATTAAAAAGGAGAATCATCCCATGAAGGAAATGTAGAAATTATTCTTCGAATGGAAGATTCATTAAATTTTCCGCTAGAATTTCTATAATAATTTGAAAAAAACTAGACGAATGGAAAGGTGAGGTGAAATGAACCTCCTCCAACCATGAATATCTCCGGACCTAACGATACCATTCAAACAAATCAGATTTCATTTTTAAGTCTCAACAAATATCTTCAAAATGAAAAAAAAAGTATTCAATTTTACTCTGCCGGTCTCAAGCTATCGATTATTGAAATCCTTCAATTTCACCCATCCCTCCAAAAAGATGAGGTAAAATGCATCTCCTTAAATCCGTGATATCTCCAAATCTAACGATGCGATTTGAATAAATCAAGTTTCATTTCAAATCTTTCGAAAAAACCTTCAAAATGAAAAAGACATATTGCAATTTCACTCTGCCAATCTCGAGTTATTGAAATTTTTAAAGAAAAAAGTTCATTACCCCGTCTTCCCCTTCCAATTGCGAATAACTCGAGATCGGCAGAGTGAAATTCAAAATTTTCTCTTCATTTGAGAGATATTTTTTCAAACTTTAAAATGAGTCCCGAGTCATGAAAATTGTATCATTTCTTCAGGAGATATCGATGATTAAATAAGGTTGATTCTAGTTCAACTCCATGATTTCGATAAACAAAATACTTACTGTACGTTTGTAAAACAGAAATTCGTTCCCTGTACTCCGCGGCTTTAGTCCTGACCGAGAACCCCGCAGGAGAGCTCCTCGGCGATATCCTCTCGAGGAACCGGGCGGCGACATCATAATAACAAAGTGCCTTTCTATACAGCTCCGAATCGTCAAACTCCACGGCCTTCCTCGCGGCCTTCTTCGCATTTTCCAAATTACCATCCCCCATATTCATTCATACCACCACTATCTCCATGCACAGTTGACAATCAAAACATTAAACTCGATTTTCAAATGTATTATTAAAAAAAAATGATCTACTGAGGTCTGATCCATCTAAACTTCATTATTCTGAATAAATTGAAACAATTCCGTTTAATTAATGCAACTGACCATTAAAATGGAACGGTGCTAAATTTTAATAGCATCATCTTACCATACTTTTCCTTCCAAAAATAAATCATTTGTCATCTCATTATTGGGAAAAATAATCGCACAATTACTCTCGCATTCAGGAAATTTCAAGGTACAGTGCGTGATATTCACCGTACTATATCAAATCGGCGTCTTCTCTGATTGGTTCCACCATTGACTGATAAATTGGCGGGAACTTTGAATTCGCCTTCGGCGAGCGCTACACACCTTCCACGGATCAAAAAACACTTTTTCGTGAGAAGGCCCGGTAACCCGCGATTCTGACGAAAAATTGCATTCATCACACGGTTCAAAAGTATTTTCTGACGAATGTGATTATAGGCCGAGCCGAAGGCGAGGCTACAAAGCCAAATTCGTCAGAAAATACTTTGTGGACCTTGTGATGAAAATAACTATTACGCACTTGTATCGAAATATAGTATGTCGGCCATGTGACGAACAATATTGTTTATGCCTCTAGGGACGGAAAACCGCAAGTCTAACCTCGCTTCGCTCGGTTAAATCGCGGTTTTCAGTCCTCGAGGCATAAAATATCGTGTGCCACACGGCAGTAAAAGTATATTTCTAACCTAGGGAGGGAAAATAAAGGATCCTCAGCCGCCAGTGCAATTACCAGCCGAGCCGAAGGCGAGGTTGGTAAGCACGCGGCTGAGGGTCCTTTATTTTACTTCCCGTGGTTAGAACGCCATTCCGTCCCGGCGTAGGCGCAAAGTCAGAGTTCCCTCCCGCGAAGCGGGAGGAAAATGTAACTTTGCGCCCGCCGGGACGGAATATACTATTGTTATGACGGTCATAGGCAGGGATTCGCGGACACGCAGCGTTTCTTTACGTCCGAAATGACAAAATAGTGTATTTCGTAACGAGTGCAAAAAAGTGTTTTTTGGCGAGTGGGAGGTTTATATCACGAGCCGAACGCGAGTAATATAATCCCACGAGCTAAAAAACATTTTTTTACGAGTTGCGAACAATATTTTTCATCACAATGTGGCGGAAATTGGAGTTTTAGGCACGCAGAGCGTGCCGAAAAGTTCACTTTTCGTCACAGCGTGATGAAAATATTATTTTTCCGGCCTGTAGCGATGGGGTTTTTTACTCGTGTGGCATTGGCCTCCGAGCCGTAGGCGAGGACTGGCCAACCACACGAGTAAAAAAACCCCATCGCAACAGCCCAGGAACAATATTTTTCTGTAGTGATTTTCGAGTTTTCGGGTTTGGAAAGTATGTAATACCAATTCCCAGACGAGAAATCGCGAGAAGCAGTACAGAAAATGACTTATTGAGGTCTTAACTCAACTAAACTTGAGATTTGGAAAAAAAAATCGCAATTTCAAACTACCCGCCAAAATGACACTTCCGGTTGAATTTGCGACCGCAAAAATAGCTAGCGCCATCTAGCCCGCGTCCACTTTCGACGCACTTGGGCGTCTATTGGTGAAACAAGAAAGCCGTTTTCCATTACCAAAGGGCAATACCTGACAAAACCCGTCTCGCGCCATATTGCATGCTTGTGTTTGGTTTGCCATTGTTGGCGCGTGGTCAAATATTAAAGAAACTTGTAATTAGGGTGTAAAAATGTCGGACAATCAGGTAATAACCATCAATATTCATCGTCGGCTTCATTATTACCGGGATTAGGGACTGATGCGCGTTTTTGTGCACATGGGGATGGGTTTTTTTTGGCGAATGCCGACTCCAGATATATAACCTTCGTTTTCCAGGAACAGAAAGCTGATACCGGTACGGGCGACGCAAATTCTGAATACATCAAGCTCAAAGTCGTTGGCAATGTGAGTATTTCAGTCGTTTTAGGGTAGATTTTTTAGATTTTCTGCGCATTTTTGGGGGTTTCTTGACGAATTGAGGGTCTTAATTTTGGTTTTGATTTTTTTTTCACTTCAGGACAGCAATGAAATCCACTTCAGGGTAAAGATGACGACTCAAATGGGCAAACTCAAAAAATCCTACAGCGACAGAGTGGTAGGCAGCGTTGGCTAGCTATTCGCTTCAGGCGTTCTAACCTCCAAATTTGGGGGTTTGGGAATGGCTTTTAATTGAACTTTTTTCTCTTGCAGGGGGTGCCAATGACTTCTCTCAGGTTCCTGTTCGATGGAAAAAGGATCAATGACGATGAAACACCAAAGCAGGTAATTTGGGGGTTGATTGGGGGCTGGGGAGGTGGGTGGGCGATCCTGGGAGGAGGAGGGTCGAGAGGATTAAGAGGGGGTTTTCGATTTTGGGGATAATATCTGGAAATTTCAGGGGGTAAGGAACTGTTTTGTGGAGCGGAATGAAAACTACAAAAAAGATTTCTATGATTTTTTTCTATTTCAAGATATTTAGCAAGAATGAGTAGTTTTTGAAATTTTATAGATTTGTACTTGAGAAATGTCTGAGGATCGTGAAATTCTTATTGAGATCGGCCTTACGGCCAGAATGACAGAAAATATTATTATAAAATTCTCGATTTTTGGGAAATCCCTGAGAGCTGAAGGGAAATAGGAAAATTTTCTATTTACGCCAACAAATTATTACTGTATACTATGTATTTATGAAAACACTTGGCTGAAGGCCCTCGGGCGATGGCCTATTGTAAGAAAAAAAAAATTTTTTGTTTGTAATTTTCTTGCAATAAATTCCATTAAAAATTAAAATACGAAAATTTTTATGGGGATCTTTTTTGTAGAAGAAAATGTGAGGTACAAAAAAATTTCCATGGAAATTTTCGTAAAGGGAAACAACAGCTACAGGAAAGAAACCACGAAAACGCCAATATCTCCTTAGAGAAAAAAAAGTTTTCATTTTCGGGGACATGTCGATGAAATTTAGTGAGAGATTCCCAAAAATTGAAAATGTGTCCCAGAAAATCAGTGATATTCCTCTGAAAATTAGAGACGACACGCCTCCAATAATAAGTCTTTGCATAAACAACAATAGTTCTCTACTTAATTTCGTTAATCTCCGTAAAAATAATCTCAATAAAATACTGAAATGTGAATTGTTGCTTTGAATTTTCACCAACTGTTGTGATTCTTAACCGCTGAGTGACGATTTTTTTTTCAATTGCTAAAAAACAAACGTCCATCTACTGGGGGGTTTTCTTAAGTGTCCATCTACTGGGCAGTTTACCCTATCTCCTTTAAATATTTGTGGTCAGTTGCTTCTGCGAATTTTCTGGTGGTAAAGGATCTAGTACAGTTCAAATTACTCAGTCTCACTAGAAGCTCAGATCTTTGTTGATCGTGCTTAGAACAGTCCCATAAGACATGATCAAAAGTTTGACTTTCGGCTCCGCAAGCGACCTTGGTTTAGTGACATTCAATAAACGATGAGTCATCTCCAAGATTGTATTCCAACCTTCAAAATGCGATCAGATTCGTTTGAATCGTATCGGTCATTCCGAAGAAATTGATTGATCGAAAAAGTATTTTACTTTACTCTAAATCCTTGAAATTGTCATCACTACTCTACTATCATTGTATTGTTATGAAATTCGTTATTCGAACCTCTCTATTCTTTTCTTCCCCGAGCTGACAAAACTACTCATTACTCCTTCCATTCTGGCGTTATTCACGTCTATTTTCTATCATTATTCTTTATTTTGTTTATTTTTTCATTAAATCTCTCTTCTCCGATTAATAAACGTCTTCCTCCATTTTCAAATACTGGGATTTATTACAATAAATGAGATATAATCCATTGGAGCGTTGCTAATGGGAGTATTTTCTGTGGCTGTACACACGAAAAAATTTAATAGAAAAACCAAGTGAATTCGCTAGACGATTCCGTTGGATTTCAATTGAACTTTCTATTCTGCAAAAATTTCTAATCTGCAAAACTGATCTCTCTCTTTGCCATGCAACAAAACATTCGGGAAATATCCGATAATAGAATAAGTTGTGTAGAAAAATCTAATTCTACTGACTTTTTCTATACAATATTTTGTATTGAACATTTCAATAGAATCGGCCAAAAACTAATAGAAAGTTTATCAGAAATAAATGATAATTTCTTTTCGGTTCATCGGTCAGTTTATTAGTTAAATTAAAATAGCTCTTACGTTTCTACCCTGACTCTAGGTTCTCTTCAGGATAATTTTGCATAAATCAACACAGTAAGTGTTTAAAGATGAGTTGATACACTCCACGAAGATTTATTAGAACGAAAAATACAGAGGAAACACTTCTCTCTCGTAGTCAATTAAGCGTTGGTGCTATTTTAAATAATGTAACCAATAAACTGACCGATAGGCCAAAGAAATAGTCATTTATTGAATAAAAAGTACGGTTGAAAGATCATTGATGAACGGTTCAATAGAAATCCAATCGAATTGTGTAGCAAATTCACTAGGTTTTTCTATTACATTTTTTCATATCTATTGTGTAGATGTATAAAACTAAAAGTAGAATCAAGGAAATGAAGGATTCTATTCTAGTCTATTTCACTCAATTCTCACCTAAAAATCCTTTGTTTACATCGAAAATTGATTGTTTAATTTTTATTTTTCATTCAAATTTCAGCTCGAGATGGAGAATGATGATGTGATCGAGGTGTATCAAGAGCAGACAGGCGGTTACGTTTAAATAGCGCTACTCGAGAAGCAGAAGAAAAAAAAAGCAACAAATACCACGCAATTTCATTATTTCCCTTCATTATTTTCTTTTTCCCCTGTTGAGCGACAGTGATTAAATATTTAGTTCAATTGAAATGGACAACAACGGACTATCAATTTCTGTTAAACAGCAGAAGTCACCGAAAGTGTATTAAGTTTATTATCTATTTAGCACTCATTTCTTACATTAATATTGTATCTGAATATTCGTGTTTGGACATGAAAAATAATACGAGAAACATTTGACTATATGCAATACTTGAACATTCTTACATTCCTAATGTCGAGAGGATGATAATGGGATAAATTTTGATAGTCTGTCCATTGATGATAATTGCGTGCTGAATTCAATGTTTTAGCCTCTCGATCAAATGCGCTATGAATGAATATAAAGTAATACATTCACATGAAAAACATGATTTCGATATCAATTAATATTAATAACAACAAAGGACAAGCATACAGATACTTGCTCATAAAGCGTGATTATACTGATATAAGATTTGAATAATTTGAAGAAATCATTAAAATTCCGGAAGGTTTCATTTCTTTGTCATTTGAATAAAAAATAATGTAATAATTATGTTGATTTGTTTTGATCAATCATCTCCCCCCTAAATTACAGAGAAAACAAAATGTAACAGCATTCTATTGGATGGAAAATTATCATTCTCATCAGTACTCCCAGTAATAAAAAAAGTTGATAAAAAAATAGTTGATAAAATTTTTTTTTTGCTTGAAGTGCGTCAGACAGTCGTGTTTCGACTGTCTCATTTTGCCCCACTCTCTTCCCTAGAAGCTAATTCCAATTGACGCAATTGGCAGATCTTGGGAAGATGATTAGTAGGCGTCTTCAAGAGCTTGAGCATCCAAATCAGGGCTTGTTTGATGACTTCATAAGATATTTCGGGTAGTCCCCTTTCCAAGCGAATAACATTCCCTGGAGTACTCGGTAGGTTGAACAGCCGTTTGAAGAATCCTAAGTGGACTCATGCAAGTGTGCGCCGATCTCGTGAAGCCCACAGGGACGAAGTTTAGAGAAATGTAATTTCTTCGTTGTTTTAATAGTAATGCAATGATTATATATATATTTTTTGATGAATCATTCCTGCCCCTAAATTATTTACTGAAAGAACAAAAAGTTGAAAAGTTATGAAAGATTCTAGAACAGTTTAAACATGGTGAGTTCCAAAATATTTTTTTTTGCTTTATGAAATATCAAATTATCCGGTCGAGGGTTCGTTTTATGCTAAAATGTCAGAGAACATTTTTTGCAGGAAATTTTGTCAGCTATAAAAAAAGTTCTATAGTATTTTGACCTAAAAGCACTCAATTACGAAATAAATGCAAAATTATGAAATTGGTCTCAATCAACTCTTAAAATTTCGGAAAATTTGACTTCCTTTGAATGAAAAATAATGTAATAATTACCTTTTTTATTTTGATTAATTATGTATTCCTCAAAATTAATCACAGAAGAAACGATTAAAAAATTATGAATATTATTCTTAATTCAAGAATAATTCAGTGTTGAAAAGTCCCAAAAAAATTTTGTCCGCTTTTTTAAATAGCAAATTATCTGAATAACGATAAAAAAAATTATCTGAATGAAGTCATTTCTTGGAATAATATAAAAAAATTTTGTCGGCAATTTTCTCAGCCACAAAAAACGTTCGGCAGCATTATCTCCTAAAATCAGTCGTTTACGCGACAAAAACAAAATTGTAAAACTTGTCTCAAACAACTCTCACAATTTTTCACGATTTGATTTCCTTGTCCTTTGAATAAAAAATGTAATAATTATTCTTTTGCGTTCTGATTAATCATTTCTCCCTCAAAATTAATTACAGAAGGAGCAGCTAAAAAATTATAAAAATTGTCCTTGATTCAAGAGCTATTCACTCTTTCAAAAAATCCCACAATTGACTTGCATTCTTAACTATCAAATTTTCGGGGTAAAAACTCATTTTGGGCCAAAATGTCACAAGAAATTTTTTGTAGGAAATTTTTCCAGCTACAAAAAATATCTTACAACATTTCCCCCTAAAACCACTGGTTTACGAAATAAATACGAACATGCAAACCACGTCAAAACGAAATTTTGAAATTTTCATTATTTCCCAATCAGCAAAATCGATAAAAATTCAGAGGAAAAATTTGTTCAATATAAAAATTAATACCAAATAATCATGTTAGACTTCATCAACTTTATTACCTGGTAGGGCAGTATAAGAATAATCCTCGATTACCATAATCATATTTTTATTAATCTTCATAGCTAAACTAAAAATTTTCACGTATTCATAAATCCACTCATTCCCCAATCATCGCATACTAAGCGGAGGCAGGAAAATTATCTCGTAAAAATATCAAGATTTCGAGTTTCCCCAGTACGCGTGACTTGAAAATATCGATACATATTTACAGATCCACCTGTGATGAATTGCCCATCAAATAAATCATATTAAATGTGACGTAGTGGTACAATCTTTCAGTTACAAATAAATTTTTTATTCTCCTCTCCATCATCAGGAGACAGTCAATTATAAGCATGAAATCACAAAAAAATGAAAATTGATTGTTAATATCGGAATATACATATAATATTAAATCCATCGTCACTCCCGTTATCACGTCCCCCTCGATTTACTTGAAACATCGAATGAGTAAAAATAATTCATCATTTATTCTCATTATTGTAGTTTTACCCTTTCAACACTCATTTTATTAATACTTTCAATCCGTAAATAATTAATAATTCTATATATATTTCATATCTCAATTTTAAATAAATATATTTATGATACATGCGACAAGTTGATTAATCTCGTAGTGGGGATTATATTCTTAAGGTGGAAATGACAATTTATTATTTCTCATCTTGTCTCTCATTAATGAGAGATGGTTTCTTTATTTTCAACATGCTTTTTAAGTAATTCGTTTTTTTTTTCATCGCTCGTGAGTGTGGAAGGTGTCGGGGTTTCTGAATCCCGTCGGTCGTCACAGCGCATCACGATGCCATACCCAGGTTTTCTTCGTGTGATCGAAACGATGGGCCAGCCACTGTTGCTCGAGGAGTTGATATCTCTCTTGGCTAAGGAAAAGAGGCTTTCCACGTCTGGAATTATATGGAAGGGCATCTGTTATTAAGAATTTTCGGTCAACCGTTTTTAAGGATAATCGGGCGAGGAGGAAATGTAGGAGGTGAGGCGGAGAGGTTTCTATTGTTTTCCTGCAGAAAACCAACCGCTGAACAAAAAAAATTTTCCCATTCGGATTCAAAATTCAGGCAATATTAGAGAGTATCTCCGGTTAAAAATTATTTTTGGAGCTAATCAAATTTATTTGTATCCGTTCCACGCATTGAATGGTTTTCAGATTGTTTTTTTTTAATAAATGAAAATATTAATCCATGCGAAAAAGTGGCAACATCGTCGGTAGTTTTTTTTTCACCACTTCATCATTATTAATAAATAATGCTCTTAGACGACAATCTTTTTCACTCAGAAAATCATTGATCACATGTTCTAAACGTGTTTAAAGTTTCCTGACTTTGGCTGCAGTTTTTCCTTGGGTTTTGCAGTTTTTTTTTGTGATTTCCATAAGATCACGGTTTAAATGACTTTTTCAAAAATTCATAATAAATTAACCAGGCTCCCCAGCAGTCTGAAACTTTGCACACCCCTTTTCCATCATTTAAAGAATACTTAAAAAAAAAAAGAAAAAAATGGCTGCTTTTTTTCTAACCCTCCCGGCTCGCCCGATTATCCTCAAGGTAAAATCATGTACCAATCCGTGCAATATGACTATTATTGATATCCCTTATTCCCTTATACTAAAGATGAAAGAAACGTCAAGTTGTTTTATATCGAAATTGGTCAATATGTGGCACGAAGTTATTCACAAAAAAAAAACGCGGCATTCTCAAATTCTTCAGTGACATAATTTCAAATTCTTCAGTGGTAAATTTATTTTTCACGTCATATATATATATATGCTATATATATTTCACATGTATATATATCATCCGTGAAATTAATAAATTCTGTCCTTTTATGGAGACCGATTATTTTAAAAAATTGAAGATAGTCAATTGAAAATGAAAAATTCTTTATAGATTCTTTTACTCTACTTCGCTATTCACTTCAATCATTAGTCGAATTCTCTTTGATTCATTATCAATATTCATAAGGTATTCATGAGAAAATGAAATTCAATGAATTCCACTTCTTCACTTCAACAAATGAATAGCTCAGCGCGCGCGAGAGCGCGCGCATAGATCTTGTAACTGCAATAATTGGAACAACTGTAAATAAAAAAAATCAATTCTTACTTGAGATCCTTGTCCTCCTCTCCGAACTCATCCAAGTAAAGCGAGCCCCACAAGCAGGCCCTCTGCCCCCTGATAACAATAATATAAGTCGACGTAACGACGAGATAAATTCCCGTGCCCCCTCCGCAATCGATCGAGTGCTGAACGGCCTCCCCAACATTCTCCTGCTTGCAACAATTCTGCTTGAGGCACACAATAGCCCCACACAGCAAACAAATACTAATCTCCGGTGGCACCTTGTGACACTTGCAGCACGCCTTCTCATGATAATAAGTAAACAATTTTTCATACTCCTTTGGAAGACTGAGAAACCTTGGCGCTTGCCAAGAAACGTACTGATTAACAATCAGTCTCTTCGCCGCGATCTGACTCCTCCTGTGAAAATCTAAAAACTGATCGCACCAGAGTCTGGGTACTCTGACCGCAGCCTCGTCGTCCTGCCAGTTGAGGGCAGCAGCAGCACTGAAGCCAGACCCATCAAAGTTATCAGTCACCAATTGCAGGTAGCTGACGAGCCTGAAGAACTCGCTCTGAGGCTTTCTGGTCTGCTCCTGAGGCAGGGGCTGCGAGTAGAGATGATGTCTCAGGAGAGCAGCCACCCTGAGGAAGGGGAGACACAGGGTTTGGATGAGCGCCTCATGATCCCCACGAATTGGTCTGGAGGCGACGTCATCCTGGTAGAAGTCCCTCGAGCTGAAATGCTCTATCACACTCCTGATGACGTTATCAGAAGAGAGTCTTCTGTCGCAAACACCAGACCTCATCTCCGTCAGAAAAGCCTCCCTCACACTGGGCGATAAACTACAGCTGACTTGCAGGACGACTTGGTAATACAGCAGATTATATATGACTTTGACGACAACAGCGAAGTACGTCTGGTCGATGTGAAGAGGGAGAAGAAGGATGAACTGAATTAACAGGGCTGTCGGGTCCTTCAGCAGGAGAGGGACCTCCCTCTCGTGGGGGGCTAGGGCCAGGGGGGAAGGGTTGTCAGGGGACAGTCCACTGAGCTGTTGCCAGGTGTCGTGGACAGGCCAGTGGATGAGCAGCCTTGCGTGGACCGTCAGAACGTGGAGAAGAGCCACTATGCAGTCACGTTTGGGGGCTAGTGACAGATTAGTCGACTGAGGGGAGGGGTACAGCCTCCCCCCGTGCTGCACAAGCTCCACTTCGAAGTTGGTTCGAGCCACTGAGGTGATGAACAGGAAGAGGCTCTGGTGACGATACTGATGGTCACTGTTCTTCTGCTTGTACTTCAAGTAAGTCGCAGCTGATATCTCCTCCATGGCCTTTCCCATCGCTTCAGAAAGGTTCGAGGGAACTGGGTTTCGTTGGGACTCCATCAGGAAGTTATTGATGTCCTCCAGGACTGTCGTTGGGGAGGGGTGTCTCGACTTGACTACCAGGCAGGACTCGCCCAGCTGTGGAGACATGGGCAGCACAGAGTTAGCGAGCTGACGACAGAGGGGGCAGAGGTATTCCCCTCTGTTGACAGCTAGACTCTGCTGTCTCGGTTGGTTTCGCAGGGACTGTCGGTAGGGGTTCAGGCAGTCCAGGTGGAGGTGGTGGCCGCACGTCTGCACGTGCACCCCTCCCTCCCATCCGATGTTGAAGGACAACAACCAAGAAGACGTGTCGAAGTGGCGATGCATCTCGTCGAGACGATAGTCAAAGTGAGCTGCCCTGGTGTTGTCCTTCGGCACTCGAGGCTCTTCATCAGATGTGGGCAGGGGGACTCTCTCTGACTGCTGTCTCTCGTGACCGACAACACTGGTCGATTGCACCAGGACAACCAGACCCATCGGCTTCTCCTCAGTACTAGGTGTCGTTTGATTACAGATAACACAGTCGTACTCCTTCTTGCTGGTGACATTGGTCGTTGACGAAGGATCCGACTGGTCCCAGTCCATCCCCGAGGTGGATGCGTCCTCAGTCTCCATCGCCTTCTTCATGAATTGCTTCTGCTTATTGGCGAATTCCGCCATCAGCTTCTGCTGTCTCTCCTTCGCCTTCTTCCTCCTCTCCTCGCGATCCCGATGCTCAACTTCACGCTGGGCATCCTCACACTCCTTCGTCCTCGGCCACAATTTGTTCCTAGTGTCATTGATATTCAGCTTCAGACTTTCGTCCAGATTTGAGATCTTTCGGAGCAGTTGTCCTATGAAGTAGGGACCATCACCGATTCTCGATTCAAAGGAATCGGCTGTCGACGTCGAGCTCGAGGGTTCACTCGACCGAATCCCACTATTCGATGATTCATCGGGGTTCCAGCTGTCGGGAGTCCCAGACAGCTGCGAATGAAGCTTCAGTAGCAGGGAAATTATGCTCTCCCCAGACTTTGACAGCATCTCCCTCGAGGAGGGATACGACTGCTGTTGGTAATGAGAGGAACTAGTAGACGGAACAATATCCCTGACACTAGATCCTGCAGAGCCTATCCCAGAGGACGTAGTGCTGGTATTCGTCGTGGGCACCATGATCCTAGAGGCCCCAAGCCTCGGGAAGATCACGTGAAGCAGATCGACCTCGTTATTCCCTCCCGCAGTGGCCATCAAAGGTCTCTGCGTCGTGTTCATGGGCACAACAGCCCCTGCATCCAGCCCCGAGGATATCGATTGCATCAACGAGGCTGGGGGTCGTGGCAGTGCCCTCTGGCGAATCGGAATTGGCAGGTTCTCCCTTGAATTCTGATTGCCCCCCTCCTGCCCATCGCCCTCCTCGCGGATCTGATACCGTTCATTGGGAACGATCGACAGATCCCAATTGTTCGATGGCAGCAGGGCTGGCAGAGCAGCAGTCTCCATCGGCGCCATGATCTGCTGAATATTCCTGTGCTCGCTGTAATCAGCGCCCCCAGCTCCTGCTGGTCTACCCCTCGCCCCCTCCCCCGTCAGCTCGCCAAGCAGCTCCAAGTCCCACACCTCCGCAGGCTCCCCAATCTCAACCTCAAACTCGTCATTGAGCATCAACGAGCCCTCGGTTATGTCAGAGGCTATCTCCCAGTCAGATCCCCCCTCGGTGTTCATGAAGTCAGAGGTGCTCTCTACGAGGCTCGTCCTGGGTATGAACGTCTGAAGATTCTGGATGAGGCTGTCAGTCTCGTACCAGCTGCCAAAGTCCATGTCCTTGAGTGAACACGAGACACTGGCTGATCCCGAGTACCCGGTGTACGGACAGATGGGATTGACCTGGTTGCTGGGCACCTCAGACGTCACAACAGCCATTTCCAAAAGGTAGACAGCCAGCGCCATCATGTGCTCAGAGATGTTGGGGTCGTTAACGGCTTTGTAGAGAACGGAGTAGATCATGGCGTGGAATATCCTGGTCCTCAGGACGATCCTGGGATCGTCGTAGTCCTGGGAGACTGGAGCTGGATACCGGAATGGCGGCCACAGGGTCGCGCTGTTGTTCTTCTTGACTGGGTTCCCGGAGTTTTTCGAGGTGACGTACTCCGTGAACCTGTCCATCGAGACCTGATAGTCCCTCCGGTGGACCGCACGGAGGAGAACGTGCAGGGGATCGTACATCTCGTCCCAGACTCGAGACTTGGGTCCGTACATCCCCTGCTGCATTATCCCATTCCCCTCTAGATTGGGTGCCCTGTACTGGGCGACTTCAGCAAGAACTGCCTCGAAGTCTCTGTTGGGAGTGGTGCCACACCTCTCTGGCATGAGCTCTATCAACTGGCTGTGGGTCTTGTCCCCCATGCAGAGGAGGGTCACCATCTCCAGGTGAGACACCTGAGAGTCAGTCAGCCCGAGATTAGTTCTGACGTTTATCAAAGTGGCTAGGAATATGAGACAGCTCTCCATCATGGCTGTGTCGTGTTCGCCGATCAGCAGGACATTCTGCCGAGACCTCATGGACCGAAGGCTCAGCCACTCCTTCACGTGGAACTTATCGATGACAGCATTGATGAGGACATCAGGCTGCAGCTTGGTCGCGCAGATCTGCAGAAGGTAGAGATCAGCGTCGACCATAGAATTACAGAAATTGCACTGGATGTAAGTCATGGCTTGTCCCTTGATCTGAAGTCCATTCCGCACCCACAAGCCATTGAGAATCTCGTACAGGGCGACTTGAATCCTCAGAGGATGCATCATCAGGAGGTGAAGCATGTCGGTGGGAGGGAGGAGCTCCTGGAGGGTGATCCCCTGTTGTCGAACAGCTTGACACATGAACACTGCGAGATACCGATGGAGGGGGATATGGAAGGACACGTGGAGAACGTCGCAGACGTCGGGGCTGGTGAAGCCGATGGCGTCCAGCCAGTCCTGCAGGGCTGTCAGGCAGAAGGACAAGGCCCTTCTGCTCACTGACGCACTCTCCGGACCTTTCAGATGGGACACCAGCGCCCACATGGGGTAGGCGCTGGCTTCCAACTCTGCGCTGAACGCTGCATAGTACGTCGTGGGTTCAAACTCCACGTGAGCACCCATTTCTCGTTGGTTGACATTCATCCCTTGGAACATTGAGAGAAAGTCGAACCACATTTCTAGTAGCGTGTCATCTGTGAGGAATCTAACGGCCACTGGCTTGTGAGACAGTACGTTGTTCAAATCTGAGACCAGGGGCCAGTAGCAGTGCTCCTTCATCACCTGACGTGCGCAGTCAACCACGTAGTGGAAGTTCTTGTTGGCAGCGTGCAGAGTGTTCTCCACCAGAATCCTGCTCATCATGTACTTGAGACTGATCACCATGACGTGAAGGAGCTTGAGTTCATCGACCATTCGAACAGCGAGTCCATTGTTGCTGAATAGCTGGACAGACACGTGGACAACTGAGTTACTCAGGGTCTCAGGGTCTGTCGATCTCTCCAACATCATGGCTATTCTGCTGTAATGGAGGACGAAGGCTCGTGTCAACGACTCTTTGTAATCAGGGTCTGGCAGCATGCTGAGCAGAAGGCAGACCAGTTTCTGGGGGAATTCGTAGGCAACCGTCCAGAACATGAGCTCTTCCAAGAAAGTCGTGTGCACCAGGTCCTCCTGGAGGGAGGGGCAGTCCTTGTACTCGTCAGGGGGTTCCGGATTCGGCAGGGACTTTATCGCGTCCTGGTAGATGACGTGGCTCTCCTGGCAGTAGGCGTCGTACTCTGATTGCCCTCCAGATGCTGCTGAAGAGGACGAGGAGGACGATGACGACGAGGACGATGAGGATGACGTTCTCCCTGGGTCCATCAGGCCTCGGTACTTCTGGGGATTCGTCAGGGCTGATGTCATGACTCTTCTCATCAGGGCACCCATGTCGTTGAGGTCGAGCAGCATCTTGAGGTAGGCGTCAGCACTTTGGATGGCATTTCTGTAGTCAGCACCAGCCTTGCAGTTCTCTCGTAAGTGTTGGATCAGTCTGAGGATCATCCTGGGCATCATCGCTTCAGCCACGAACATGAGGTCTGAGGGGGCTGGGGGCTTGTTGACAGCTGCGTTGGGACCGTGCTTGTCGCAGAAGCCAGACTCCTTCATGACGTTTGTGTCACCACAGTCGCAGGCACCTCCAGCCTGGCTCAGGAACATGTTGAAGTCGTGGCGGTAGTGGTTGCCGCGTTTGAAACAGTCGGTGCAGAGGGCCATGCAGGGCGAGATACCGCAGGTTCGGCAACGGTAGGCCACGAAGTTTGGGGTCCAGACGAGGCCGCAGGTCGTGGCATTGTCGTACTCTATCACTGTTGTCGAGAATTCGTCTGGGGTTCGTCCGCCCGCCATCAGCCACTTGCACCAGTCGATCGTCTCCCAGTCGTCTATCGGCTTCCCCGGGGTCAGGAGGATGTCCAGGAGGTCGTCCAACTGCTTCTGGGAACGGTTTCTGCATTCTGCCTGGATGTAAGCTGCTGCGCCACGCTTACCCTTGCTCATTAGGACCTGGGCTGAGGTGCTTTTGCCGAATGTCGAAGACATTTTAATTGCGCGAGTCAGTTGTAGGGTTTCGTGCAGGGTTTAAGGGTTATGAAGCTGCCTTCGGCGAGGGGAAAGTCATCCTAATTTTTGGTATTGATGATATTGGCGAGGATTTCTAGGGTTTTCGGCTGCTTTCTCGGAATTTCCTCATTTTCTTGGGTCACGCAGGCGCTGCGGGGGGTTCCGATACCTGGAAATAATCCTGTGTTAGGATAGGTATGCAAATGTAGGGTTTCTGGTCTATTTTTATTCTTTCACGCACGAAAAAATTCTGGAAAAACTTGACGAATTCGGTGGGAAAACCCCGTGAGTCTAAAAACACTTTTCCCGCGAGTATCGAACCTTATTTTTCATCACAATGTGCGGGAAGTGGGGGTTTGCGCACGCAGAGCGTGCGTAAAATGTCACTTTACACACAGCGTGATGAAAAAATAATTTTTTTTCTCAGTGTAAGACTTTTTTTTTCTCCATGTAGTGTTATAAGTTGGAATTTTGTGTATTCGTTTACTGTTTTCATTCAATCTCGATTAAGGATACATATATGTGATGTTCACTCCATAAAACGGGCTGTATTGGCCCTCGCTGAATTCTCGACGTATTTTATTTAAAACTTTCCAGCATGTTAAAAAGAGAACTAAAAAAATATTTAAAAATTACAAAAACCCAAAAACGGAAGATTTTTAAAAATCCTCATTTAGTGTTGAAAATTCCATCAATGAAAAAAATAAAAACCCGATGTTTTCTCATTCATTTTCCATTAAAGAGGAAGGAATAAACTCATCAGCACGATGAATAAAGGCTCCTGTGATTTTTAAATTTCAGTGCCGTCTCCCCTTAAATAATATCTAAAAACCTTAGAGCACTTTGAAAAATTTACAATCAGTATGTTAAACTTTTCGTCAATTCAGGGGCTTTTTAAGGATGTGCGGGTCACACAATCATATGAGCAAATGTTTTTCCAGTGCGAGTAATTTTGCTCATGACTTAAAAATACTTGGACCCCCCCTAGAATCGCGTAGATCGAATCTTCGGCTGGCGATTCTTTCAGCTTCATCTTTTTCAAAATACCCAACTACACTCTAAACATGCTGTGAACTATTTTTCTACAAAATTCAGTTCAACTTCATGTTAAGAAAATGTAAATACGTTGAATAAATATCCACTACTGTTAAAAAAAATGTGCTAGGTTACGTTCGTTGGAAAATTCAGTCCCTGAACTGATTTTATTCATGAATTATGAATGACGATTGGAGAAATCCACGAGTTATAAACGTTAATCAACTCAGGTTTTCCGGGGTTCGGGTGATTTTACCTCGATCTGATGAGATTCAGCTCAGGATGATGTGGACACGGGTCTCTGTCTCTCGTGCACTTGTTCACCATCAACAATCACTAAACTAAGTACTGAATTATTTAAGTCCAGTCTCACCACTGATATTTCCCACCCCGTTAGCCCATGATCATTTTGATTTATTGAATTTTGATTTTGATACGAATAAACGAACATCAAGTGACAATGGAATTCCAAGGATTCATAATGGATCACGGGGATTACAAAATCATCAAGCTCCCAAGTTAGATCTTAGATCAAGTTTTCGATCACTTGGTATATGATGGAAGGTTGGGGATATGTATAACGTGTATACTATTTTATCTAACACTTGGGATTGGATTTACCGTGTGGGCACGGAACACGTTAACCACTGGGTGACCAACTATTTCAAGGGGAAGAGTTGGAGTTACGTGTTCTTGAGGAATTCTGTCATATTCGGAGGGTTCGGGGGTAGGGGATTTTTGACAGTCGACAGGGGGTGGGTGCAGTATGTTGGGGGTTTTGGGCCCGGGGGGATGGGACAGCGAGGATTTTATTTATTTTCGAGTTATTTTAATTTTACGATTTTTTTTTTCATGGCTTTTTTTAGATGTGGATTTTGAGTTTAGGAGCAGGTAGTTGGGAGCAGGTGAGGTAGATGTCGAGAGCGGGGATTTCCCGTCGTATTCCGCCCCTTCCGCCCTGGCGGGGAATATAGTTGTCCTCGCGGCGGATTGGGCAGGAAATTCTAATAGATTTCTATGAAAATTCTACTCGTTTTTGGATTTCTATTGACGAATTTCGCCATTTTACTGCGTATTTTTTTTAGAATAGCGGAGGTTGGCGTAAAATGGACACTTTTGACACACTGTTTCAAAAATATTAGCAACGGGTTGAAATGTTGATGAAATTTAATCTTTTTTTTAATACAAAGAACAATTCTTTCCCTTTGTGATGAGCCTAAACTGAGCTCTATTGATGCATTTGTTTCGGAGTTATGAATAATTTTTAAAAAGTCTGAAGTGTTTATTTTACCCTACCCTTCCCTATGTCCAATGGAAAATATTTTATTGAAAAAATTAGTAAAATTTCGTGTTTTTTTCACCATTGTTCCGGTTGAGACATTCTCTATAGGAATTTCTTAATATTAATTTTCCACTTTATTTTTCTCCTCTTTTCATTGAAAGAATCAAACACAAAATTGAAAAATTTAATGCGAGGAATTTTGATAGAAAATATCTCAATAGAATAAGTGTTTAGAATATTTCAGGGGCAAGAGTTCGATAAAATAAATATAATGTCTAATAGTGAAAAACTTTCTCCACTTTCCGTGAATTAGATTCTTTTCATCAACTAATAAATTCCATAATCTTGATTTTTCCTTTATGATTTTTTTTCTTTTAATTAATTTAACTCATCTTCTGTCTTTACTCACGCGGCGAATATGTAGTAATTTCAATTTAAATTCTGTTAAAATACATTTCAATGGAGTTGCTATGCAACAACCATGTTTATCGAAGATAAATACCCAGAGGTTTCATATGAAGATACAAAAGCAGTGTAAAATGCTCTCTATATAATTGTAAACCAACTACTTCCTTAATTTGACTTCACATTTGTTTCTGATGACAAAAAATACATATTTTTTTTACTTCTCTCTGTGAACGACAATTAAAACGAGATGCCTCCCACGATCGCCCAAAACGAACCGACAACGAACATTGAACAAACCCCATCGACACTTCTGAACATGAAATCCAAGGATGGATCGACGAAATATCCAGAAGGAAAACGCAGGAGATTCCTGAGGGAACTGCTAGTCCTCGAGGCGTTGAAAAAATTTCTTCCTCATCCGGTGGATGAACCCATGAGTTACGAACCTACTTCGTCAGAATACGTCGATGAATATTGCCTAGAGGATTTCGTACCTATTCTGGAGAAGGAAGAAATCCTCACGGAGGTAATTAATACAATTTGTCTTAGAAAATATCGAAATATTTTGTATATATTGAGAAAAAAATTATTGTTTAGACCTTCAAATTATCTGTTTCATCGAAAAAAATTGATTCGAACTCTTTACTGCACTCGTAGAAATGATTCATTACAAATAATTTAATTAAATTAATTTCATCGAATTAAATGAATGAATCTTTTCAAATAGCTTATGATAAAGCTTCCATTCAACTTTGAACTTGATTTTTATTTGCGTTTTTATTCACATCAAATCTATAAAATAGAAACGAATATGAAGAAATATCCATTCTTATAAATAAACAACAAGTAGGAAATTGCTCTTGTATTGCATATAGTATAGTTATTTTTTGTAATAAATTAGCAATTTTCCGCAAATATCTTCTCATCTAGCGAACCGATTTCGATTTTTTTTCAAAATATTCGTTTCGACGTCAACAAAATAAAAAAAATTGCAAAGATCTGGAATTAAAATGTATGAAATATCCCACTTATATTGTCCAGAAACAAGTGAATTACCCTCTCTACGGTCGCAGCATAAATAAAACAATTTACAACGAGAAAATCTCCGCAGAAATACTGAAAAGGCGCTCAACAGTCCCTAATCTACACGAACCATTCCGAAGAAATTGCAGTTTTACGACACCTGTTGCAGATCGTTTGACGGAATAAAAACCCCAGCTGTTTTATTCGCTCAAATACTCTAATGAAAATTTATTGTATACGCATTTTTTTTACATACAATATAACTATTTGGTTTCATGACAATATATGCAGACGAATAAATGATTAATCAGTTGTTCGAAGTAACTTGTCATCTAATCATAATTATTAATCATAATCTTGAAAATATTGATGTGAATGTTTCATTTCACAATTTTTTAACAGGAGAGTGATGATTCCATTGTCGTAGTTGTAAACTTTGTTTATCGAATGAACGACGTCAAAGGGAGAGTTTTTTTACGCTCTGAGGGACACAAACTGGTGGAATACGTCCAGAATGTGGGGATCCAAGTCCGGCGTGAATAGAAGTGTCTCAAGGGTTGATGAGTATTTCATTACTTGCTCGTGGTGCTGAAATAGAACAAAATTAGTTAATTAGTTTGATAATAATTAATTCCAAGAAAAAATGACTTTTCTTCGATTCTGTCTTTTGAAATTCATTAAATTGGATGAAAACAGGATAAATAATTTTTTTATTGCTTATTAAATATGCAATTGTGTCGATGATGAGTGATTTACCGAGAAAATATCAAACAACAATTTTTGTTGAAAATCTTGTCAGCAATAAAAAAGGTCTAACGGCATTGTCTCCTGAAAACACTTATTTACGAGATAAATAAAATTTTATTTTATGACTTTACAATTACGACATGATTTTCATAATAACTGGTTCTAGAAGAAAATGTTCAGACATTTTCGCAGGGAATTTTTTTCAGTTAAAAAAAACATGTTCTCTGAAAATCACTTCCCTTCAACATAAATGCACTGTGACCGGACAAGTAAACATGATAATAATGATTAAATTATATAAAATGAAATCAACTTGAATTAACATGAATACTCACTGTCAAGAAAACCTGTTGCAGACGACCAATCGTCCACTTGTACCAGTGTGTGTTGTAATCAATTCCATCTGTGTCACATCTCACCAAGTGCTCAGACAGGATCATGATGAAACGCTGTAGAAAAAATTTCAAAAAATACACAAATTAATTAATTTTTTTATCATTAATATTTCATGAATTTCGTTATTAAGAAATTATTTAAATACTAGGGGGCTACGCCCCCTGTTCGCTCCGTTCGCTACTCCAATACGACCCCCGTGACTTTATTCTGAGCTTCGTGACCCTTATTTTGGCCCTTAATTTCGAGCCCCAAATTTTCATCACCAAAAGTCGATCTGGATTTTTACAATATAGAGAGATATTGAGACCTTTATTTTGACCTTTAGTTTCTGATCCCCATGATCCTTAATCTGACCTTTGTGATCATTAATTTGACCCTGTGATCCTTATCCTGGCCCCTGTGGCCCTCATTCTGACCGTTAATTTCGAGTACCAAATTTTTATCACCAGAAGTCGATTTGGATTTTTATAATATAACGAGAAATTCGATAGCCTTGAAAAATCTCAATAAATGAGAATCTTATAATCTATCATTTCGTTTATTCAATAAAAATTATCATCTTCTGATAATCTTTTCTTTAACATTGAAAAAAATGGGTTTTAACATTTTAACTTTGACGTTTAGATATGATTGGACTTGAATTTCACATAAAACAAACAGAAGAATTCATGAAGTGTCTCTGTTGAAATCGTAAAATTAATCTGTCACAAACCTGGAAAATAATGAGGAAGAGATTCTTTTGATCCGCCTGTGCTGCCTCGAGTTTCTCCTCCATCCTTTCTAAAACTTCCTCGGAAGGTCTCTCCCCCTTATCCTTATTACCGTCTTCTTCGTCGGATGATGATCCCGATTTGCTTTCAGCTCTTCTCATCTTCTCGCGTGCTTCGCCGAGCTCTTTAGTGAGCTTGATTACGTGTTGGTTCTTCTTACGAATTGTCAAGTGTAAAATCTCCCAGATGTACAGTCTAACGAAGAAAAAGATAATGAATTTAATGAAATTTTGATAAATTAATGAATCTAGATTTATTTAATATAAAAATAGAAAATATGAAATTTGAAAGAATGAAAAAGTGCAAGAGAGAATGATGAGAGATAATTTTTACAGCTGTAGAAATTTACGAAAAAAATAATCTCTCTTCTTTCTTTTGTTTTCGAATCCCTCGAGAAGAAAACTATCCAAAAAATAAATGAATTGAATATTATGATTTTTTTTTCAATTCGATGATGGGAATTATTTTTCAATGAGGTGAGTTCAGGACAAAATATCAAAAAAATGTTATGAAAATTTGGAAAAACATGGTGGATTTAACATACTTTGAGAATTCAGAGGACATTTCCCTGGAGAAGATCCAATTGGCAATAGCACTGCACTCAATGATTCCAGTCTTTAGAAACTTATCAGTCAGGACAACCATCATCTGGTAGTGATTCTTCCACAATGCATACATATTCATGAGAATACATTTCTGGGCCTCTTCTGTTTCTGCAAGTACCTAAATAATGTAACATAAACCCAGACAATTTATTATAAATAAATTTACTATGAATATTTATTAATTATATGAAAAGTATCATTTCGACAGTGAATGATCAAATGCTTCGAGTTAAATTCATTCTGTCGCAGAGGAGAATATGAAATCTTTGATGCAAATATCAATTTATTGGAACATCGAAACATGATTAATAGTAAATTAATATTGATAATGTCGATTAAAATAATATCAGTATAAAAAACTTCAATAAAAATTTGTTTGAATGATAGAAATACTTTTCTAATGATTTCCAAATATGAATAATAAGATAATTCAATGAATTATGGGGCTCATGACTTTGAGAACCTACGCTCAGCGGATAATTTCTCATCGTCTATCATCGATACATTATCAAAAAAAAATCTAATCTGATGCTGAAAAATTTTTCCAACTTGCACAGGAAAATATCAATATCTTGAAATAATTAAATCAATTTCAACCAATCCAAAACTTAAATTTGAGCGATTATAAAACCTTTACTCGGAACCAACAAACCAGTGGACAATTGCACATTTTAAATGAATGAGTAGTTATTGTAGCTAATAAATTAGCAATTTTCTTGCGAATCGATTCTCTTTCTTTAAATTCTTATTTGACTATTCTCTTCTTCTATTTTTTTATATCATGGTTCTATCATCAATTGAAATGTCATCAAAATTTTACGTATTATTTCGTTCCATCAAATGATTCTATATTCAGACCCTCTCACGACTCGAATTCGTTTTCAATGATACAATGATGTCGTTCTGAATTTTATTGTTCTCAATTTTTTGAGCCATGACTAAGTCCATTTTTATGCCAATTTTTGGACTGATCGTTGAAAAATCGATTTTTGTAAAAATATTAATTTTTTCAAATCTGTATGAAAAATTGAATTTTAACTGGTGTCAATGAATAAAGCTTATTAAATTCACAGTCCACGAAAAAATCACGAATTTCGACTAATCCCGTGCATAACAAAAATTCGAAAAAAAAGATTGCATAACATGAAACATCAGCTCAGATTACCTTGAACACATAATGAAATTTGCCAATAGCAGCAAAGCTGTGGCTGAAGCTCTTGGACCCCAGATTCAGCAAGGTCTGCACAAAGACATCAATCTTCAACGGATTGAAATTGCTGGTCTCCTCATTCTCCCCAGTCCCAGGTAAAGTATTAAGCACATTGATGACCTCCTCGGGCGTGCACTTCCTCCTGATGGACACCACCAACTCATGAGCAGCAGCAGTCCCAGGGAGTGAGCTCGCCCCCTCGGAGCTGTACTTATAAATCGGTTCAGGCACAGCTGGTATGAGTTCCGCATAGCTCTCGGGCATCATGTCCCTGATCCTCTGGTGATACGACAGCCTTAAGGACTTCAGCAGCACCTCCTTAATGAACATCGGCCTGGGATGATCGGCATCCCTCTGGAGGCAGGAGTCCCAGTCCTCCCAGGACCATCGAAACTGGAAATTACTGAGATGATACGAGAACCACCAGACGAATCTGTCGAAGCAGGCAGCAGCCATGCTGTCGATCCTCCTGAAGAGGATCTCCGTGGCTTGTGCCAAGACCTGAGGCATCGTCGAGGGCTGAAGCTTGCAGAGTTCAATCAAAATCGAGCCGTAACAGATCTCCAGATGCTTGGGGGTCGGCAGCTTGAATAGTTCCCCAAACATAACTTCAACGATGCAGTAATCCAGAGGAATCTTGTTCTTGTAAGGAAAATTGAGGAGATTAGCTGCGCAGTCCTTTCTCTCGGTGAAATAATTATCGATAATCTGTCTGAGATGTTCTTCAATAAGAAATCGTTCGATAGCGTGACTTCCTGGCAGGAGTGGGCCCTCTGCTGGGCAGTCGGTGTAATCAAACATCCTGAAGGTGACGGTCGGCAGGGGATAGAGGTAGGAGTCATGGTGAGGTGGAGGAATTATCGTTGGGAGATTGTGTTGCAATGCCTCGCAAAGGATCGAGTCGAAGGCCAGGTAAGGCCGGGGAATGTGCTTCTCAGCCCAGTTGTCCTGCCGGAGCTTTCGGACCTGCGCCCACAGGCAGTCCAGGTATTCCTCCTGGGGGTGAGGGGTGTCACTCGACCAGACACGAAGTGCTGGCTGATGCTTCTTGCTGCGTTTGTTGAGGAAGACCTCGATGGTCACCATCAAGTGGTCCAGCTCCTGCTCCTTCTTCTCGTAGAGCTCTCGACCCACCCAGGGGAGGGTCGAGAGGACTGCGTAGACGTACCAGTCCCTCCGGACCTGGGGCACGCTGTCCTCGTTCGCAGCGTCCAGCATAGAGTCGAAGAGCTGCATGAGGGAACCGCAGGAGAGGACGTGACAGTTGACGAGGTCAGCGAGGAAACGGAGGGAGTACCTCGCTGCGTCCCATTTGCACGACTTCAGGGCCTCTTTGAAGTTCTTCACCATGTAGTCGACGAATTCACCGCCGAAGTTGAAGTTTTTCGCGTTGAGGAGACCCACGAGGGTTGTGTAGATCGTACATTTTTCAGGCATTTTCATGGCGCAGTCCGTCAGGATGCGGAGGATTTTCGTGCGGAAGACACCGAGGTCCGCTTCGAGGACCGACGCGAGACCCTCGAGGTTACTCTCGAGGGAGGAGGTGGACTTCTCACCCACGCGGAGGATTAGGGACTCGAGGCGGTCCTCGATCTCCTGGTTCTCCGATACGCGACGGCGTTTCTTGTAGACCCGGTCTGCAAGTTGTTTTATTTGTTATTTTTCGATTTTTTGCTTCCGAGTGGAAGCATTGTAGGGTAAACAGGCGAATTTCTGGACGTGGGGTAGTTTCTGGACGATTTCAATTTGCATTGAACATTCCACAAATAAAATGAAAATTCAGTAACGAAGCGGTAAACCGGGTTAAGTCGATTTTTACTTTTGGTCAGTTTTTGATGAATATCTCGGAATCTAAAAGAGATGGAGAAATTTTTGTCATGACCGTTTTTATAACCCTCACGTGACCCTACAAAAAAAGTAATGAGAAAAATTTTGCTATCTCTTTTAGATTCCGAGATATTCGTCGAAAACTGACCTGTAGTCAAAATCAACTTAACAATAATATTTAGCAATAATATTTCTCGAGTATAATCATGTGATCAATTTTTTTTTATTGCTTGAAATTTAATAAATAAACAAATATGGCTCAGTCGGCCAGAAATTAGGAGTTTTGACTGCATTCAACTATTTCTTTATATAAGGCCCGGATGTACCATCTTTCGAATGTTATCTGGATTTTTTTAATCTTTCGTAATCCAAAATTGTCAATTGAGTGGTACATCATGTATAAATTCCCAAAAATTATGATAGAATGATAAAAAAAAGAAAAATTCTGAACTTTTTCAAAGAGCGTTTTCAATTGAGATTCACACACAAGTTGAAAATAAAATTTGATAAAAAAAATGTTTTTGCTTGAATTGCGTTAAACAGTAGTTTTTCGACTATTTCATTTTGTCCCGCTGTTTCATTTTGCCCCACTCTCCCCTACAATTCGACGTTTGTTGCCCAAGAAAAGCAAAAAAATAAATTTTCAATTATTAATTCTGCTGCAGGGATGCTCCCACACGAATATTCCCCGATTTCCCCTGGAATTATCATTGAAACCGGTCAATGGACACCTGAAACATAACCTCAAATCCCCCGAAAGCTTCTCCAGAACCAAGAAATCCACAACATGAACCGTATTTACCGTATCCATCGTCATCATCGTGGGCCCTTCGTCGACTCATTCTTCTTTCCTTCCTGACTCTTCAGATTTCCCAGAAACAATTGACCATCGATGTCTTTTGCTAAGAATCCTCAGCTGGTAACCACAGCTGATGCAGCCACGTCTCATGCACACTAAATAAAACGTTTATCACTTTTATAATACCAATTTATCGATCAAGCCAGAGTAAAGATCCTAGGTCGAAACAATGACGTTCAGTTCTCAGGTCAATAAAATAACTCAATCCTCGATTTCGTCCTGAATTTTTTACTGAACAACAATTCTTTGAGTTCAAAGACTCAACTTTCAGCTTGCTGTGGCAATCAAGCGGGATGAGCTTGACGGCAAAGCAGTATGGAAAGGGAACAGAGAAACGAGTGGAATTTGCTGCAGCGACATCTCGTGTCATCGTAGAAATTAGTTTTTGGAGACAGTTTAGAATCTCTGATTTAGATTTCATGGTTTTGGGTTCCCTATATTCAGCGTTGAGTTAGGTGTCAAACTCTGTTAAATATGAAAATAATTCGAAGAATTATAACTACAAAATGATACACTGTTATACACACATAATATGTTCTACAAAATACTGATTAAGCTCGAGAGTCAATAATACTTGACCAAAGTTTATGTACCAAACAAAATATCTCTCATTATAATGTTTTTCAAGACTGGTTTTTGATATATGTAAATACTGTATATATGTAAATATTGTTGGACTTCAAATAAAAACATAGTTAAACAAAACAAAAGTGAGTTAGGTGTTGCTCCGGCGGACATCCGAGTGCAGCTGCGTGAGCTGCGTTTAGCGTGGTTAGTACTTGGATGGGTGACCGCTTGCGCTTAGGAACACCCTCGCCCAAAAATTTCGGAAGGTAGGCACGGTGTGGTGGCCTAATGTGCCCCTCTAGTCAGTGTGACAGAAGGGCACATTAGGGCTCTGCACAATCGGCCCTGGCGAATAAATAGCCCCGTATAAATGGTTTTATCGCCGTGTGGCGTACAATATTTTATGTCTCTGGTCCCGAAAACTGCAATTCAATCGAGGAAATCGATGTTAGAATCGCGGTTTTACAGTCCTGGGGACATAAAATGATATTTTATGCCTCAATTACCGAGAACCGCATTCTAACCGAACAAAGTGAAATTATAATTCGCAGTTTAAATTCGCACAATATACAATTTTTTATGTGTCCAATACTGCGTCTTTGTCACGCAGAATAAAATAAAACATTTTAGTCATCGAAAATTGCAAGCTTTTCGAAGGAATGTAAAAAATGTAAAAAACCTGTCGAGGTAATTTACGTAAATTACGTCGGTAAAAAACGGTGTAATTTACCAACGTAATTTACACGCCCAACCCTGGTCGCCACCACTCGATATTTCTCGCAATCAGTTGTGACTCTGGTCTATATTAAAATGGCGGACAAGACTCGGGTGTTGGATCGTGATGGGAAAACTCCGGAGAATCATGAGAAGGAGGGCAAGAGTAAAAGGTGAGAATTTGGTTGAAAAATATCTCGATTGTAATCACAATTCTCTGTATCGAGACTCGACTACAATCGCTCTTTTTTTATTTTGATAAAAACGTTTGTGCCCGGCTTTACTCGTGGATAATCATCACGATGACTGATTTGTAGAGATTCACTCAATATTTGCGAGACGATTTTTATCAGATATTCACCAGAATTGTTATTTTTTCAAATCGGAGGATTTTTTATTTGTTGAAAAATATATTTAATTGATCATTGAGGCACCTCCATGACGTTCACCTTTGCACTGTGGCGGGTTATTTGAATTTATCATTGGTTTAATGATTTTTGTTTCTATTCTATTGCTCCTGAGATTTTTATTCGATCAATTGATCAATGTTTTGTGTGACGAAAAAATTGAGATTTTGTTTTTTGTGATTATCTCGGGAACCAATGCGTTGCGGAGGAAATTTCAAATAACATTTTTTGTAGGTATTGGAATTCTCTACCAATAATGCCTGAAGACATTTTTTCCTAAACCCAATGGTCTCAGAGATATCTGCAAGACAAAATGCAATTCATCATTTTCTCGTTGAATAACCCTCTTATTTACATTTTACTGGTTTCTCAGTGCGAAAAAACGAGAAGGAAAGAAGAAGAATCAGCCGTCAAATTCCTCGAAAGAGAACAATGAAATGGTCCCAGCGGATGGAGAAGTGCCTGGTGCATGCAATATTTCCATAAAGGAGATTGAGTTGGCAATGGAAGTGTTTAAAATGCAACTCAAGCCAGCTAAGACACAGGAGGAGGCTATGCAGAAGGCTTATCAATTCTGGAGCACTCAACCAGTCCCCAAAATGGGTAAACGCTATTGGCCATATTTTTATTTCGATTAAAAACCCAAAATAAACATTCAATTCCAGTCTTCACGATTTAAAACACGAAATCTTTGGTATATTTGCGATTATTTCTGTAATTATCAGTCCTAGGGGAAAATGTCAGAAGATATTTTTTGTTGGAAATTTAATTCTCTAGAAAACATGTACTATGACATTTTCTCATAAAACCGTTAGCTTCTGAGATAATTCACGATTTGTGATTGATTATTGCAGATGAAAAAATTGTGGTTAATGAACCCATTGAACAGAACAAAACGTCCATCAGGCCCGAGCCGTACTCCCTCCCCGATGGCTTCCAGTGGGATACCCTGGATCTGGACGATCCATTAGTCCTCGCAGAGTTGTACACGCTGTTGAGCGAAAATTACGTCGAGGATGACGATGCCATGTTCAGATTCGACTATCCACAAAATTTTCTCAAATGGTAAATTGAAAAAACAAAAAAAAGCGTACCGT